ATTTGGAACTTAATAACCAATGAGACTGCAATATTAGCAAATGAGGTAAAATGATGATAGGTGGCTCGAAGCTTGGTGGAAACTAAAATCCCAAGACCTCCTTTCTAACAACCTTTTCTAGCACTAGCTTCGGCTTTAAGTGTGTAGCTTATAAACCTGTCTACTCCAAATCCCCCCTCTACCAAGTCTCTTGAAATAACATTATGTTATACTGCTTGATATAACTTTGAAGAGTGGGATCCATAGCCTTTCCTCACCAGCCTGCAATGTTCCATGAGAGGTAAGTCCTCCTAGAGATCTGATGTTGGACTGAGGGTCAATTAATCCTTTCAGGGACATTTCTTGGATGCTTGGTAAGGGCCTTACTTCCCAGTGTCACACAGTCCCGTGCCCCAGATAACCCAATGGGGACCGCTTCATCCTCTGCCGCTCTAATCAACTCCAACGATGGACTCCACCTGTTTATATTGGACACTACTAGGAACATGGGGTGAATACACTGTTGGCCTTCTCAATAACTTTTACTAGAGAGCCAATTTCTGATGCATCTAGTTCTCTCATCTGAGTCCAAGTAAGTGTATTAGTGTCCTCTGGCTAGAGGGTTTAGTTCCACTGTCACTTGTTGTTGGGTAGTGGGCACCTTCTCATTCTGTAGCTGTGCGTCCATCTGTGGGCAGTCTATTTCACCAGTGTCTGGAACTCATATATTGCAAGGTAGAGGGTGTAGATTGTTGGCTTTAAAATGGGAGTCTCGTCACTAGAGGAAATATCATAGATTTATTCCATACAGGATTTAATTCCTTTGGTGACAAGTATTGCAGAGTATGTATCTTCTTGTTCTGAAACTCTAAGTCATCTCCTTCCTTAGTCATGAGCCGGGGTGTTTCTATATGAATTTTTATGCACATTTGATTCTTCATTCTTTGCTGTTAATTTAATCAAATGGTCCTTTAAGACATCAATTCTTTTAATTATATCATTTAAACTTCACAAGGTAGAGTACAGAAAGAATTTAAGAGGTTCATCTCTTCCGGTTCTAAAGGTTCCATTTGCTGCTGAAAGCCATCATTTATTTGGACTATATTACACTGATTTTTGTCTGTGAGGGATTGTTCCTCAATAATATCAATGTGGTCTGAAGAATCGAGGTCAATTAAATTGATACTATGATTGTCTATTGTTAGTGGGTTAACAGCATGCTCTGATGTACAAGGCATCAGTGGTAAAGGTGAAGCACAGTTCTCGAATACTCTTACCGGAGGTACTCCGAATTCAGATAGTACATCTTTGTATCCGTATACCATTTTAGCTATACTCTCTTTAGCAAATTCTTTTACTATTTCTATTTCTTCATTGTCTAGGTTGAACTTGTGAAAAATTGAGGGTAAAATGTATTGTCATGTAACAAAGGATGTAAAGGACAAAGCTATGGAAAATTATGCCAAAGAACTTACAAAATTCTGGCAGCATAACTGTGCTTTTCCAACACAGGCATTCAAAAACCTAACCTGTAGATAAGTCAACCCAGTTTTTTTGGGTCAATTTTTTGACTAAAATGTCTAGACCTTTACATAAGTATACACAGTTAAGATCAAAAAATGTAAAAGGCTTATTTCAAAGTTGTATGTGGTTTTTTTGGGGGGGGGGAGTGATGGTAATAATTAATGAGAAATATTTAAAACAAGCATTTCCTGTCTGGTTTAAAGCTGCTTTCACAGCTGCCAATGGGAGGGAATACATATACCTATGTCAGCTCATAGGTTTAGTGTTCAGACTCCAGGGACCTAGGAGTTTTGGTTCTGCCTTTTCCCCATCTCAAAGCACCTGGTGTAGGGACCTACCACTGGTTGTAGATCTACCCCTATAGCCTGATGTGTTGTCTTATAGGCACAGCTCCTCTTTGCTAAGAAAGCAGTATATCTGCCTCCAAATCTATTCCATCCTCAGCTGACTTCCATCCCAGTTGCTCTTTCAGTTCATTTATTTCTTTTAAACCTGACAACCACATAGCTCATTTTTTTAAAAAAGTTACTGTTGAATAAAATCCAGCATTTTATCTTACCCCCTCTTTTGGTGTTAGAGCAATTGGGGTTAAGATAGGACAAAATATCCTGCATATGAAACCCTTCTGTTTTTTCTCATATGAAGTCTCCCCCTTTGATTTTCCTGTCCATTGAAATGCATGGCTATACATACCTTTTATGTTACCAAGTAACTGGACCACATGACCCCAGGAAAATTCCTAGGGTTATTTGTCCTATAAAGACCCCCCCCCATCAGTTTTGATACTCTCCTTTCTTTTCCTATTTCACTTCCTCTCCTCAAAATCAGAAATGTTTCCCCTTCTCCATCAACAAGATAGTGATTTGTAAGAATGAAGATTTTCCCCTTTACCTAATTTCATTAGCTACTCAGGATACAGGCTCTTCATGCATTGTTGGTCTTGTTGTTGTGTACCTCCAAGTCATTTCCTGCCTCTGGTGACCTTATCATGGGGTTTCCTTGGCAAGATTTGTTCAGAAAGGGTTTGCAATTGCCTTCCTCTGCAGATGAGAGGGTATGATTTGCCCAAGCTCACTCTGTGGGTTTCATGGGTGAGCTGCGAATTGAACCATGTAATCCAAAATCTTAGTCCAACACTCAAACCACTACACCAAACTGCCATAGGTAATTGTAAAAGCTATTAGTAAACTTTTTCTAAGTGTGTATTCAAAGGGACCTTGCAGAACCTTTGAGACTAAAGAAAGAAGTTGATAGCTTGAGCCTTCGTAGACCTGAGCCTACTTCTTCAGAGGCATGTTTTCTAAATTTTTCTAAGTTTGTAATTATCTGCCTTGTTGGTATTAATCAGTTTCAGTTCAGGGAACCAACATGAGATTATGGCATGTTTTACTTGGTCATTCTGCTAGAAGAAGGCTATTGCCTAACAGGTTTAGCTTTCATGTTCTTTCCCAAAAGAGCTAACACCCTGGGAAACTAATTACAACAGTTACACTGTATAATTTTAACACAAACATATGTATCAAGGCACCAAAAAACACAGCTCCTGAAGCACATTGCAGCAGTGTAACCTAACACAACAACCAACAACCTAACCAACAACCTAACACAAGCCAGAAATGCAGCAGCAGAAAAAGGGCAGTTTGAGGTACAGTGGGCCCTTGGTATCTGCAGAGGTTTGGTTCCAGGATTCCCAGTGGATCCAAAATCCTTGGATACTCAGATCCCACTAAATACAATGGCATAGTAAAATGGCGTCCCTTACATATGAATGGAAAAATGTAGGTTTGCTTTTTGGAATGGATATTTTTCAGAATATTCAATCTGTGGATGCTTGAATCCATGGACAAAAAGTCTGTGGATATGGAGGGCTGACTGTAATTCCAAAAGATGATATAGGGTACCAACAGGGCTGACAGTGAGGTGGGGAACTAGTGCAAATTACCAGGGCCCATAAGTCTGGAAGTCTGTGTTGCATGTTTGTTTTTGTTTTTTTGTCATCCTTGGAAATATCATTGTCACTTGGTTTTGATACCCATTGTAAAACTGATGAATATCAAAGAATATAATGATGATATACAAAAATCTGTGTTACAAAGAGGTATGCTGGTTGTGGTTGTTTCCCCTCTCCCCATTAAGATTTAGGAGACGTTAAGTGGATGAGCAAACTTCCTGCGCCTGAACAAATTTTTAACTAAGGTCCAAACCCACTCTTGGTAGCTCTGTGTATCAGGGTTAAATGGGACTCCCTGATGAAACAGCTGTCTCTTTCAAACCATTAACACAAGAGAAAGTTTATCACCAGGGACCTATGTGCTTCAATCCCAAAAATGATTAAAGCGTCCACATCCCAGAGAAGTGTGCAAATGTGTGAATAATTTTCACATGCAGAGCACAATAGTGTGTTAAAAGCTCATTAGTAATGCAAGAAAGTGGGTAGAAAGCACATTTGGTTTTCATACAG